TGTCTCGCTCAGTCTTTTCAGACCAGCAGGACGGCACCTGGCAGGCCTGGCAGGAGCATGCCATTCTGTGGTGCTGCTTGGCGATGGACTCCATTCACAGTCCACTTCTTGACACGTTTTCACACTGTGTAGAGACCCATTTTTTCCATCCCGTGTGGAATGAGAATCTTGAGTTGCCACAGACTTGGCCTTCATGCCAGATCTGTGTTCTGTCACTGAATTGCTTGGCCTACCAGAGGCTGCGTGCTGGCAGGCTTGTGCTCCCCTTGCAGAAGGGCTGCTATTTCCTTGAGAAGGAAGTTCTGCCCACAAGACTCCCATGCTGGCTGCAGAGGACAACGCAGGAAGCACATCGTGCATGGGACAGGGCAGCCAGGTTCCAGAGCAGCCAGCATGTGCGTTCTTGGTGCCTGGTGGCCATCGAGGGCCTGAGGGCCACACCACAGAGGCCCCCATGGACCTGAGCCCAGGAGCTCAGAGGGTTCCTTCCGGGCCTCAAAGCTCTGCGCAGGACGGTGCCTAGCACAAGATGTGTAGGACTGGAAAGCTTCCTTTGGGGACCAGAGGAACATTAGGGCCAGTCAGACGTGTAGGGAGCATTGAGGAAGGGGCTAAAGTGGACCATGCCAGCTGCAGAGGGTGGGCCTCTGGGCTGGCCAGGGGTCTCTGGATGGCCCTTTCCCCATGGGCCTCCACAACTGCTTAGGTCAACTGGCACCTCAGGCTGGGCAGAAGGCCCATTTGCAGGGCTGCCCAGAACACTGCCACCACTGCAGCTCCAGGGTGCGTGAGGAGAGCTGGACTCGCTCATCTGTCCTCGCGCTGCCAGCCAGAATGCCCCTTTTGCAAGGCCTGCTGCGACCCCAATCTCACCAGAGTCCTGGGGCCATGCTTGCTGAGCCTTGTGCTCCAGGGGTCCTCCTTCCCCAGGACCACCTTGCCACGTTTGCGGAGACCAGTGCCCTCTGACCTGCCTTGTGGAGGTGGGGTTTGATACTGTGCGTTGTCTCAATGTTTTAATGTTTTCCTTTCATTAAGGGTTTTTAGTTTGGGTTTAATTTTGGTTGGGTTGGCACTAACTCTTAAGATGCTGTGAGAACCATTTCATCAAATGCCAAATAAACTTGTGTTCCGGAAGAGGCGTGGCCCTTGGTGTGACCCCTACAGCTACCACAGGCTGAGGGGGAAGTGGCAGCACCCACCTTTCAACAGAATGCTCCTAGGGTTTGCAGCCCTTGCAGGTATCCCACAAATCCCCCAAGGACCAGGCAGAGCTGAGCCTGGAGCCCCCAGGTGTGGTGTGCAGAGAGCAGCAGCCCTGCCTGCAGCTGTCCTATAGCACACTTCCCTGCCTGGGGCATTGGTTGCTGCTTTGGCAGGTTTTGCTGACTTGACACAGGATCCACATAAAAGCTTGACACCATCTGAGAGCCACCATGGGATGGGGTGCCAGGGCAGGGCTTGGAACTTGGCCATCAGCCCCATCTCCTCTAAGCTCCCCTTACTATCCAGGTGGCTGGAAACAGCCCTTGCCCACAGTCCAAGCCACCTAGGGTTCCAAAGTAGTCTAGGTCCTCTGGGGCTTCACACCTGTCCAGCAAGGGCATCTCTAGGTTTCAGAGGGTAGGGGGTCCAGGAAGTGTAATTGCATGCCCCGCCCTGGGGCATTCCAGGTACGTATGTTGGAGGAAGTCTTGTGGCTGGATACAAGAGGGGTCAGGGTTAGGAAAGGAGCTGGTAAGTCCCTTGGCAGGGATGGGAGCCTCAAGGAGGCAGCCCCTTTTTTTTTTTAAATCCCATCTGCTGGGCCAGGAGTGGAATGGGGATGTTGAGTCCTGGGCACACAGGTCACCATCAGCATCCTGGACAGAGCCCCAAGCCCTGCCTCTGGGTAGAGGCCACCTTCCATCCCCCAAGTGGGAAGGGCCCTGCCCTCTGGAAATTTTGGAAAGAGGCTCAAGGTGCAAAGCAGTCCCCTCTGACCTGCAGAGCTCTGTCTTGGCCTGGATCCGCAGAGGGGCCCAAGTAGGAGGGAGGCTGTGGTCTTGGGATGGGGTGGAGGTTCCAGGCCCACAGTGGGGCAAGAGACGTCCTCCACCTTCCTACCATCCTTGCCCGAAAGTCATGGGCGCTGGGGGTCAAAGGTGCCCTCACTGTTTGAACTTTCTTGCTGGTGGCTTTGGCGTGTCATTATGGTCCCCAGCCTGTTTCCTTGACTATAAATAGAGATAATAGGTCACTCCTCCCCTGCAGGATTAACCTCAGCAATTGTTGCTGACACTCAGCACAGCCCTGGGACCAGTGTGCATCTGGGTGAGTTTGGAGCACTCGATCTCTTCTCAGTGGCCCCGCCTGGGCACCGCCCCACTCACCCTCTCGATGGCCACACCCCTAGCCCACCTAGATAATGAGTAAATATGTAGCAGCCTGGCTCCGCGGTCTAGCCGTTTTCTAGTCCTTCAGAGCTGCTCTGCCACTGCACCACACAGGCCCCTGGCAACGTGCTCGCCTTTCTAGTGCTGCAGTATGAGACTGCGCATCAGGACTCTAGTCTCCAATCTACCCTCTTTTGCCATGCTCCACCACCCCTTAGGTCTTGCCACTGAGGGTGGATAGGGACTGGGGGGAGAAAATACTAGGGTAGGGGTGACGGGGCCTCCACAGGCCTAAGCCCCTGGCCCTACTTCATTCTTGGACCCCAGCTGACGGGATGGGGCTTGGAGAGGGCCCAGATGACTGGCCTCTCAGCTCAGTCCCCTGCCTCCTGTCTCCGTCGGTGCCTGGTGCTACGACTTACAGGACCCAAAGTGTGGTGAGGACAGAATGTCATGTGAGGCTGTGTCCTGGCACCACCAGAGCATATGCCAGTGGTGCAAGAGTGGCCAAGAGAGAGTCTGCAGGCTGCACTCTGTAGTCTGCAGGTTTCTGTCTGCAGTCCTCTGCCCCAGTGACTGAGCATCAAGTGCATGACTGTCCCCCTGTGTGTGAGTCTGGGTCTGCTGTGATCACCAGTCTCGAGTCAGTCAAGACTGGTGTGCCTGTTGCTGTGGCCAGGTCAAGCGTGTGCATGTGATAGAGGTCCTCGTGTGGGTGTGCAACTGTGTGCCGGAGACCCTGCAGACTAGGTGGCTAGGTCAGATGCAGGGTGCGAGAGAAGGGCACTGTGACCTGTTCAGGTTGCAGGGGAAGCAGAGAGTGGTTTCCTGAGGCTGGGCTATTCTCTGGGTATATGGGGGGCCACCCGCTGCTGCACCCCCAGACTGCCTTTCTGACCCCTACCCACCCCAGAGATGGCAGTCCTTGTTCCCACAGGCCCCACCCACTGGAAGAAGCTGGCCCCTGCCTGTTGGGGCCCAGGCCAGTCCCCCATCAACACTGACCTTCACAGGGTCCGGTGGATCTCTACCCTAGGGCCCTTCATCTTCCGAGGCGACGACTCAGCACCTCTAGGCCCTTGGACCCCAGAGAATGACAGCCATACAGGTCAGCACCCTGCAGTCAGGACCCCTCCTAGGCAGGGGCAGGAGCCCCACACAGGTCATGAGAGCTCCTGCGTGTACACAGGGACCAGCAGCCCCTACACATGGGAGCTGAGACACCCTACAGGGCCAAGAATCCTCCATAGGGGCTAGCTCCACAGGGAAGGAGCATTCTCACACAGCAGTCCAGACACACCCTGTGCATAGGCGCCAGGCCCCACCCAACAAATCACAACCAGCCGTGACCCCTGAGGACCAGTAGTCAAGATCTCCAATGGGGCCAGGATCCCTGACCACACATAGCTGGGCTCAGAGCCCCACCCCAGGAGGGCTGCCCCCTGCTCTCTTCCACGCCATGCTGGGTGTGGTAGTGGGGCAGGGTTTCCCCTGCAGTCAGTGGAGCCCTGTTCTGCTGACCAGCAGGAGCTCTGGATACCGTGGGTCCCGTTCCACTGAGGAGCAGCCTGGCTTGAGGAGGGGCCTATGCTCCTACCCTAATGGCACAAGGTGGGCAGGTGGTGGGGTAGAGAGGGTGTCATGTGCCTTCTCACCTTCAGGGCTACTCCAAATGGACACTGATCCTCAGAACCACCTGGAGATTCAGGGGCCTGGGCTGCTGTTGCCTGCCTACTTCACACTGCTGCTGCACTTCCACTGCGGGGGCCTGAGGTGAGCAGGCTCAGAGCACAGCCTGGACAGGCAGCGCCAGCCTATGGAGGTGGACTTGGGCATGAGGTTGGGTGGCCAGAGGGCCCCACAGAGGTGAGGGGGAGCAAAGTGGGGGCAGCTGGGTATCTCCCACCATCTGTGCCTCCCCACAGATGCACATGGTCCACATGAACACAAAGTACCAGAACGTGGAGGTGGTGTCACACCACACTGATGGGCTCACAGTGCTGGTGGTGAGGGCAAGACTGTGACTCTATGTATGTTTCCAAAAAAGGGGTCCATGGGGTTCCTGGAAGTGGACGGGCTGGGCCTGCGGAGTCTGTGGGGGATCGCTAGGGTCTATAGGATCTGTGGGAGGATGGGGTGGTGGGAGGGTATGGATCACCAGGGTCAGTGGGGGTGAGAACCCTCCAGCCCATTTCCCAGATGCCAGATGCCCCCTGCCACTGGGAGCCTCCTGCTTAGATTCTACCAGCAGAGTTCCCCCTTTAGAGACCCCCCACTCAGAACCCCTCCCATTTGGAGCCCCTCCCAGGAGCAAGACTGTAGCACCACCAATTTCTCCGCCTTTGTGTTGGGCCTGAAGAAGGTGTCTTCTAGCTTGGGGGGTTCTGGGGATGGGGTCAGCGGGGCACGGAGAGGCTGGTTTCAATCCCCCCCCCCTCCCTCTCTGAGAGGAATCTGGAGAGGCCCAGGTTATGATGAGGTAGGAGAGAGTCACTCAGAGGGCTCCCACGGAACAGGCAGGCACACTGAGGCCTCAGTGGGATTAGGGCAGGAAATGCCCCTCTTGCAGTGGGGGACCATGCCGGGTCACACACCCCCCCCACACACACACCACATTAAGGTTACCCTGCACATTGTTTATTTCACATGGAGGGCCACCCATGGTTGACAGAATCACAAGCTGAGCCCCAGGCCCATCAGAGCCCGGTGCTAGGGTTGCTAGGGAGGGGGAAGAGCAGGGGTGGTGGGTCGAAGGGGCTGCCGCAGGGACCGAGGCTCCAGGGGAGGCTACATTGCCCAAGGCCAAGAGATGAGAAGCCGCTGGCTCCAGGTTCCGCTGCAGGCTATCCTAGCTGTGTGGGTGCTGGGCACCGTGGAGGGCTGCCTGGTGTACTATGCGCCAGAGCCTCCCTGGGAGTTCGGCTGTGGAGTCTGCATAGAGGGTGACTCTGGAGAGGTGCTTGTGTCCAGGCGGCTGCCTGTGGGTCTAAGTAAAGGGGTGAATATTCTTGGTGTCACTGTCCAAAGCAAAGCTGGGTCCACGGGACACGGACTAGGTAAGGCTCTGTGTCCAGGTGACGCTCTCCAGTGAGAGGGAGCCACTGTCAGAGTGAGGCTGACCGGAGGCTGCTGTGCAGTTGGTGCCATGTGGAATGTGGTTACATACTGGTTAACACCGTCTTGAGGGACATCACCAGCTGCCTGTCTCAGCCACCCCTGTGTCCCTGGGGTCTGTGGCCTTATGTGTGGGTGACACTGTTCCAGTGCATGGAGACCCTGCCTCCTCACTGAGATCTTGAAAGGAAAAGACCCTGCATGCAGTCACCCCGGAGGAATGGGAGTCCTGGCTGTTCCTCTGGAGGCTGACCCAGCCCTGATCCCGACCCAAGGCCCAAAGGCCTAAAGGCCCAGCTCTAAGGTTCCAAGGGGCTACACCCCGTTCTCCAGCCAGACTCAGTCTCCAGCAAGGACCCCGGCTGCCATCCACACTCCCCAGACACACGTACCTCACCCTCTGCCCATCCCGCTCCCACCCGCTCTTGCCAGTACCAGAACCCTAGCTGGCGGCACCCGGGGACCCTTTTGGCTCAGAGCCACGCTCCACAAGGGGAACGGAGCTGCTCACTTGCCCCGTCCTGGACTCCCAGAGCCCTTCCAGCCAGCGGCGACGCCCTCCGCACCTTGCCTAGGCCGCCCTCTGTGCTGTCGCCCTCAGTCTCCGCCACCTTTCGGGGCCCCAGGCGGCACCAGCATCTTCTTGTGGTTCTTCCGGGCCGGGACTCTGTGCGCTCCGCTGTCTGCTGGGCCGTCCGGGGCGTCGTCGGTGGGCCTGGAGGTGGCGATCAGGGCGCTCACGGTACCAAGCGTCCGCAGCAGGGTGGGGCCGCGGGGCGCAGCGCGGTGCTCGCGTCGGGCAGGCGGTGGTGGCTGTGGCGGTGGCGGTGGCGGAGGCAGCAGCGCGCGCAGGGCGTCCAGCTCCGCTCGAAGCTCCGCGCGCAGCGCCTCGATCCCGGCGCCCAGTTCCGTGCGCACCGCCGCCAGGCCCTCCTGCAGCCGCCGCTCGCTCACCTCCAGGACCCCCGCCGGGTAGGTGGCCCCGCCGCGCGGCTCCCCACACACCGAGCATACCGAGTCGCGGCTGTGCACACCGGTCCTCTTGCCGGCGCCTGCCGCCTGGGCCCCCGTGCGCTCCACCAGCTTCAGCAGCCGCGGCATTTCGGATCGCTCCGCCGCCGCCGCCGCCTCCGCCCGGAGCTGGCCCCGCAGGCGAGCCAGGCGGCCCGGGGCGCGGGCTTCTTCCTGGCCCGGCCCATTGCGCTGTGGCCCCGGGTCCCGCCGGCGGCCGGTGCCGCGCCGCAGAGCTTCGCCTACTCCGTACCCACTACGCGCCTGAGCCCCCGCGCAGCCGGGCTCCGCCATCCACACTGCCGCCTCCACCCCCTCCAGTGCCAGGAGCCCCAGGCTGCAGCCCAGCGACCGCTGGGGCCCAGGCAACGCACCGTGGAGGGGGCCCCCGGGACAGCTGTGGGAACGACCAAAGCCCTGGGGGACCCGGCCTGGGGCGCAGGGAACCCCGGCAGGGCTGATCGCGTCCGGCTCCCAGGGGACCCTGGGGGACTGAAGACGTTGTGGGTAGGTCCCCACAAAGGGCATGGCCCAGTTTCTGGGCCAGCGGAAGCCCAGGGACCAGCCCCCACAGACCCAAGTCAGGAACTGAGCTGACATTTTCCACTGGAAACTGCTGTCTCCATCATAGTCAGGGGAAGGCCAGGGGTGGTCATGGGCTCCATAGCCCTCCTCAATGGCTCAGGGCCACCTCCCTCCATGTTGTCTAAGCCATTATCTCCTCACCCTGTCCCCAGTCCACACAGCTAAAGGAATCCATCCTAGTGGCATCTCCAGCTCCAAGCTGCTGCCTCCTCCATGCAAGCTCTTCAGGGTCTCCCTTATTCTCCAAGGCACTGGCCTAGGGCCTCCGGAAATCCCTGCCCATCTTACTCTGGGTTTTTGTTTTGATAAACAGGATCTTGCTGTGTTGCCCAGGCTGGGGTGCAGCGGTGCAATCATAGCTCACTGCAGCCTCCACCTCCTGGGCTCAAATGATCCTCCCACCTCAGCCTCCTGAGTAGATGAGACTACAACTGTGCACCACCATGCCCCGCTAAATTTTTTTTTTTTAATTTTTGTAAACTGGGCACGTTGGCTTACACCTGTAATCCCAGCACTTTGGGAGGCTGAGGTGGGTGGATCACCAGAGGTCAGGAGTTCAAGACCAGCTTGGCCTATGTGATAAAACCCTATCTCTACTAATAATACAAAAATTTAGCTACTCCAAGGGCTGAGGCAGGAGAATTGCTTGAACCTGGGAGGCAGAAGTTGCAGTAACTGAGATCATGCCACTGCCCTCCAGCCTGGAAGACAGGAGTGAAACTCCGTCAAAAAAAAAAAAAATTGTAGAGACAGGGTCTCACTGTGTTTCCCAGGTTGGTCTTGAACTCGTGGCCTCAAGTGATTCTCCTGTCTTGGCCTCCCAAAATGCTGGGATTATAGGTGTGAGCCAACATGTCCAACCCTGTCTGTCTTTAACCTCCTCTAATCCAACAGTCTTCCTCGCCCCTCTGGGTCTTTCCATAGTTACCCCACCCCTCATTTTTCTGGTGGCTCTCACTTCCCACTTGGGCCAGGAGATCTTCCTTGACCACTCCATCCCACACTGGGGACCTCGAGCCCCTCCCTTGCAACACACTTCACGGTTGTATTTAAATGACTCTGTTTTCTATCCACCCACAGTGGGGTCTCTGAGCCCAGGGCTGGGTCATCTCTCCTGGGCTGAGTGTGGCACTAAGCATGCTGAGTGCTAGTCTGCACAGAGGCCAGGCCCACGTGGGCCCCAGGACACAGCTGTCAGTGGCTGTCTGGCCATGGAGTGAGGGGCTGAATCAGCGGGGCTGGGATCTTCTTCCCTTTTACAGTAGGAGGCTGGGGAGAGGAGCTTGCCAGCCCATCCATCTCTGCAGCCTGGCATCTGAGGCCCTCATGGTATCCCTGCTGGCATGCCTGCCCCTGCAGCCCTTCCACCCTTTGTGGAGCGCTCACCGCTGCACCCCATTCCTTCTCACCCCAGTGCCTTTGTATGAACAGTGCTGCCTGTGGCCATCGCAGGGTCCTAGGTATGGGCAGAGGGTAGTATCCCACACACAGCATGTGGTTCTCCCTGTACCCCAAGGGCCAATTAGCGCTCTGAGTGCCCTGGACCCTGGGGCCTCCCCCAGCAAATTTTGGAGGGGGGCCTGGCATGAATCCAGGCTGGTCTGGAATGGGACATGGCAAGACAGCCCCTGAAAGCTGTGTCCCCAGGGGCTGCAGGTCAGTGCACGTGTGCATGTGTGGGTGGGGATTTGAGGGGACCACTAATGCTGTCCTCAAGCAGCTGTTGAGGAGAAGGCTGGGTCCCTCTAGTCATTGTTCATTTACTCAATCACTGCCTGCAGCCCACCTCTCTGGAAGGTGCAGGAGGAGGTGAGAATTCAGCACTCTGTCAACCTCTCAGACTCCCCCGTTTCTGCTGAGTCACCTGTCCCCTGGACCCTCCAGCAGCTGGCTCTGCTGATCCCTAGAGCCTCATTAGCCATGCTTCCCATCTCCCCAGTCATTAAAACACTGCCAACAAAAGAGCCCTGGATTCCTTCCCCAGCCCTGCTGGAGACAGGCTGTGTGACCCAGGGGCTCTGCCCTTTCTGAGCCAAGTCTTCACCTGTGAAATGAAAATACCTCTGAGGTCCCCAGGAGGGGTGACAGGGAGGCCTGGGCAGTGGAGAAGGTGCAGGGGAGAGTCCAGATTTGGCAGAAAGAGCTGCTACTTTTGTGATCTCTGCCTGGAGGTTTATGGACAGGCTGGAAGATAAGCTGAGCCTTTGCAATGAGTCCAGATTAGGGCTTGTTCCTGCAGGGGCTACAGATGTGGGGGCTGGCTCTTGTGGCAGGGGGTCCCAAAGTCATGGGCATGGAGAAGATGGGTTGGTGGGAGCACGGGCAGAATGGGAGCGGGGTCCCAGGGACCCTACTGAGCCCTGAGGAGGACTGCAGAGGTGTTGGTGAGGGGTGGGCATGCAGGTGTGTCAGCATGAACCTGAGTCCCTCAGCTCAAGTGCAGTGATGGCTGTGAAGTAGGCGTTGGGGACCCTGGACTGAGCTTCAGCAGTGGTGGGGCTGGGGTGGACACTGGGGACTGGCAGAGAGGAGATGGCTTGGGGGCTGTCCCTCAGGGAGTATGGCAGAGTGGCAGAGTGGGGCCTGTACACAGGTCTGTTCCTCTGGGAAGGTACACAGCTTCTCCAGTTCCTCTGGGAAGCTCCTCAAATCCAGCCAGCCCCAGCTGCCCCGGCACAGAGGAGCTGACTACGGCTCCTGTGCAGGGCCTGCTCCTTCCCCTCCTGTCCCCCTCAGTGTGCTTTGGGCCCGGGGCCATGCACGGTGGGGGCGGGAAGGCTGGCTGTGCCTGTGGGAAACCACCGGCTCCTAGGGCTGTCCCTGGGCCCAGGCTGTAGCTCTGTGCATTCAGCCGTGCAGGCTGGGTGAGCGACTAGCTACCTTGCCCCTCAGTAATGCATTCACAGTGGGGGGTCAGAGGAAACTTCAGGGCTCTGCCTAACTTGACTACAGGTCCCCATGGGGCTGTCTCTCCATGTGACTTAATTGTCATCACTTTTGTGCTCTATGGCTGTTAAATAAACCCTGGCAGCCACCTCGGCTGGAAGTTTTATGTCCCAGAGCCCAAGGGTAGCTGGGAGCCAGCAGAGCACTCAGGCGGCAGGGCCAGGCCAGCTCTGCGTGTGGGAGGGGGCTCTGGGGGCCTCCAAGGGCTGCTGCAGGGACCCAGCAGGGTGAGGGTGGAGGCAGAGGGTGTGATCAGAGTGAAGACAGAGATGCAGGCAGAGTCCTTGAAGCTGGCTCTGGGGTCTGTGTGGGAAGGGGCACACCCAGCAGGGGCTTGAGAGGTAAGCTAGGGAAGTGGCAGGGTCTCGGAGCTGCCTCCTAAAGGTGGCGGGAGATCCAGGAGGAGCAGGGAACAGGAGCATCCAGCAGGTTGTCTGATCCACCCTGAGCGCCCGGCCATGCTGGTTGGGACAGGAAGGCTCATCTTGGAACTGGTCCTGGAGGGGCCATGTGGGCCAAGGGTCTGGTCATGGCCCCTGGCCCTCTGCTCAGACCACAGAGAACAGGACACCTGTCCGTCATTTGCTGTGACTGTGCTGCTTGCTCTGGGAGCAGCTGCTGGGCCTTTGGAGGAGGAGGGAATTGGCCTGTCTGGGGCAGAACCGCTGTGCTGGGGCTGGTAGAAGGGAATGTGATGGTCCTTTCGGGTCCCTGGAGTGCGGCTGCATAGTGGGGCCTCTGTAGACATAAGCTGGCAGGTCCAGCTCAGGACACTGGGTACTGGGTTCTGGGTTCAGAGGCCTCATGAAACACCTAGCCTCAGTTTCCTCATCTGTCAGGACCAGCGGCTGGCTGGGAGGATGTGTATGACCATGGCAGTGGTCAGCTTAGTCTACTCTAAGAGATCTTGTCTCCCAGAGCCCTGAGGTGACCTTTTTTACGAGAGCTGAGAGAGGAGAATGACTTGCTTTTACTGCAGGCTCTGGGGCTTCCTTTGGGGACTCAGGCACACCTTGCCCCTGAATACCCCTGCCCTGCCCATTGGGCCCTGGCACTGTGCCCTGGCCTCCTGTGGCATTCGCTAGCCAGATCTCTGGGACTCATCCCAGGGCAGGTGGCTCCACAGGAGGCCAACTCTACCCAGCAGTGGCCTTGCCTGACGTGGGTAATGAGCCCATTACCCGGTAATCACCTGGTTTGTATGCTCCTGGCATCAGCAGCCTCAGCTCTCCCTGCAAGCAATGTCTGGCCTGGGATGGTTCTGACCAGTCTGTGCCACGGGCCCCGGCATCCCAGCCTGTCCTGCATGGGGTGTTGGGCCTGCCAGCATCTGTATGTTCCCTGAGGGCCCCAGACTCAGCCCCCAGTGGGAAAACTCTGGGCTCCCGACGGACCGCTCCTAATCACACAGCCTGGGGCAGGTAACCCTGACCCACTCTGGGCTTCACTCTCATCGCAGCCGGCGACAGAGAGTCTCTGCTTGGTTAAACTTTATTTAGGCTCCTGAGGCTTCTCCTAGGCACACCTGAGCACTTCTTTATAAACTCCAGTTTTAGCAAGAATCCTGCAAAATCAGTTTAGCGAGAAGCCCCCATCCTTGACATCTGATCAAGAATGTCAGATGTCCCCCAGGTGCGGTCTGACTATCTTGGCCCGCCTTCAGCAAGAATCCTGTTAGGGGAGTTTAGCCTAGTCACTTTCCATGCACTGTCCCCACCCTGCTCCTTGACTGTCACTTCCCACTTGCCCATGCTGTCTTCGGAATTGAGCCCAGTCTCTCTCCCCCACTGCAGCATCTTATCACCATGGTCCCTTACACCCGGTGAGATGGCCTTGAATAGTCTTCCCTGCAGTGCTTTAGCAAGGGTCATTTTTCATTGAATACTTTTTACTTTTTTATTTTATTTTTTTGTTTTATAAAGATGGGGTTTCACCGTGATGGCCAAGCTGGTCTTGAACTCCTGACCTCAGGTGATCCACCCACCTCGGCCTCCCAAAGTGCTAGGATTACAG